AGCCTTTGGAACTTATTCACACTGATGTGTGTAGAGCAATTGATCCTTTTTATCTCGGCAAAAATAGATATTTTCTCCGCTTTATTGATGATTTTAGCCGAAAGACATAAGTCTATTTCTTAAAACAAAAGTCAGAAGTGTATAATGTGTGTAAAAAATTCAAGGCACTTGTTGAGAAGCAAAGTGGCTACGATATAAAAGCCGTGAGATCCGATAAAGGCGAATTCACTTCAAATGAATTTTGTGAAGAAAACGGAATTCGCCGACCTATAACACTTTCGTACTCCACACAACAAAATGGTGCTGGCGAAAGAAAAAATAGATCCATTCTTAACACGACTCGAAGCATATTGAAGAGCAAAAAGATGTCGAAAGAATTTTGAGCCAAAGTTGTGAATTGTACGGTTTATTTGTCAAACCGCTCTCCCACACAAAATGTATGGGAGAAGACTCGCAAAAAGCATGGAGCGGAAGAAACCCGAGGATCTCATACTTGCGAGTTTTTGAGAGCTTTGCCTATGAACAAGTGTCGGAACAAAGACGGTCCAAACTTGATGACAGAAGTGAAAAGTATGTCTTCATCGACTATGATTCAAGTTCCAAAAGCTACAAGTTGTACAATCTAAGTAATGGGAAGGTGATCTTGAGCCGAGACGTGGTTTTTGATGAAGAAAGCACGTGAGACTGGGAAACTCAATAAAAAGAGCAATATGATTTCTTTTCCGTGTTCAAAGAGAGGTTCAAAAAAAGGGAAGAGCTGCAAGAGTCCATGCACCACCTTTATCACCAACTCCAAACCGTGAAGATCCATCCTTGGAGGAAAGCTCAAGTGAAAGACCGTGTCGTATGAGGAACCTACAAGAGCTCTATGAGGTAACGGCAAACCAAGACAATCTCACTTTATTGTCTTTTTGCCGATTGTGAACCAATAGGTTTTGAAGAAACAGTGCAAAGCAAGAAATGGAGAGATGCCATGGACGAAGAGATTCAAGCAATCAAAAAAAATGATACATGGGAGCTAGCCGATCTTTCAAAAGGCTACAAAACAATTGGCGTGAAGAGGGTTTACAAAGTGAAAAAGAATGCCACAGGAGAAATGGAGCGATACAAAGCAAGACTTGTCGCCAAAGGATACAAGCAATGAGCCGGCATCGACTCTAATAAGCAAAATAAAGATGGTATTTTCATCGCCCAAGAAGGTTATGCAAAGGAAGTCCTCAAAAAGTTAAACATGGCTAATTGTAAACTAATTAGCATGCTGGTAGAATGCGGAGTCAAGTTGTCAAGGCTTGATGGTGGAGAAAAGGTGGATCCAATCTATTTCAAGAGCTTGGTGGAAAGTTTGCGTTACTTGACATGCACAAGACCAGACATACTTTTCGGAGTTGGACTAGTGAGCCGGTTCATGGAGGAGCCAACCACAACACACTTAAAAACAGCCAATAGGATCCTCTGTTACATAAAAGGTACACTTGATTTCGGCCTATTTTATTCATCATCTAACAATTTCTGACTTGTTGGATATAATGACAGTGATTAGGTCGGAGACTTAGATGACCGGAAGAACACAACTGGTTTTCTATTCTACATTGGTGACACAGCATTCACTTGGATTTCGAAGAAGCAACTGATTGTCACCCTTTCCACGTGTGAGGCCGAATATGTAGCTGATGCGGCATGTGTATGTCATGCGATGTGGCTAAGGAGCTTAATTTTGCACAAGAAGAAACAATGGAGATATTTGTGGACAATCAATCGAAAATAGCACTAGCAAAGAATCCAATTTACCATGATCGTAGCAAGCACATATATACAAGGTATCATTTCTTAAGAGAGTGTATGGCTAACAAGGAGGTCCAAATGACATTCTCAAGGTCACAAGATCAACTTGCCGATATCTTAACCAAGCCGCTCAAGCATAACGTCTTTTTCAAGCTAAGAATTTTTCTTGGAGTTTACTAAATCAAGTTTAAGAGGGGATGTTGAAGTATAAACTTGATTTGAAAAAATAAAGCCCAAGGAAAATCAATAGATGAAGGCCAATACTATGCCCAAATAAAAAGTTTGTGTTCAAGTGCAATACAAAATACTTCTCCACTCTTGTCTTAGTACTTGTCCCTCTTCCAAAATTCTTCCAACATAAATAACAAAATAATCTTCCTCTTTCAATAGGCAGGATATTGAAGATATTCCATAAGATGGTAGATATTGGCGGTCTGTATTGGCATACTTGACATCAGTCAGGATGAAAAATATTAAATTAGTAGGAAGGTCATAAATGTTATGCTTATTAACACCGGTGAGGGAGTCATTGGTCACTATGGATACTTATTACCATTGTTTTAAAACCAGGCCTGGACGTTACCCCAAGAGGGTCAATTAGTCACTGGTTCCACCGTTAGACCACTGGTCAGACCGGTAATATAATACAAAAATTATAAATAGACTAAAAAATACAATAATTATGAAAGTAGCATACTTAATGTCTATTAGATCAAACAAAAAACTCCAAAATCATCAAATTGAACCTAATCTTTGCAATAAAAGCTATATCCAATCAAACTTAACTAAAAATTTCATCAAATCAAAAAAAAAATTCACCAAATCAAACCTAATTACAAACAATCTTAGTATTAGTGTATCAACAAAGCCATACAATTGGTGCATCAATCAACCCGCACCCATACAATACAAAATTAGTGTATACTATACCAATTGTGAGACACTAGTAAGTTCTGATAACATGATGAAAAACAAGTGGGTTTGGTCATGAAGGCTTGAATCACTTATTATTTGTTGGTACCTTAAAGTTTAATATTTTTCTGTAATTATTAATTGCCTAAAACATCTTGTGGCATAAATGTCTAGGTTGTAAGATAAGTTCCCATTCACCACTTTAAATGACAAGGCATTTTGGAGGATATCGAAGTGCAATAATTTCCTCAGTTTTCCGTCCCAAAATCAAAATTCTATAAATCCACCATTTCACCTTATCCACTTAGAATTTCAAGTCAATATGTTTCCAAATTCCCCCTCCTACCCCCCCTTCAAAAAAAAATTCTCATTCAAAAAACACACAAAACAAAATCCACTAGTCACCTAATCAGATATTAGTTCTCCCAATTGGAAAGTTGGTTGTGCTGCAAGCAGGCATCTCCAATAATGCAAAGTGGTTTTAATTTTGACATTGAAAGTATTGTTTGCTTTCAGAAGTCGGATTCCTTATCTTCTTCCTCGAGCTTTTAAAAATATTTAAAACAATGGGTTCATAAACCACAACAAAACTCTTTCTAAGCAATCACTTAAGAGAGTTGTTGGTGGGTATAGGTGTGCGACTGCATGGTGTAGATTTGCGGTATTGGGTGGATTATTGGTAGGAAGCTGGTGATTTGCAAGATGGTGGTGACTAATGGTTCTGGTGTTAGAAAGAAAGGCGTTACTGTTGATTCTAGAGAGAGAGAAAGGGAAATCGTGATGGGACGCAACAAGTAACAACGGTGGAGGCAGGGGAGTGTCTGGGAGTGTAGTGAGAGGCAAGGATCAAAATATCATTTCGAAACAGTCAAAAAGTCCAAAACATTTCCGTTTCTAAGGAGACCGAAACGAATCAATGATAAAATCGAAATTCTAATATTTCGAGGTATTTCATAATGTTTTGAGATGTATTATAATATTTCAATGCATTTACACAATTGTTTCGGAATATTTCAAGATACTTTGATATATTTAATTCAATATTTTAGAAAAATAATTCTTAAATTTTTTATTTTTTTCATTATGTTTCCGAAACGGGTCGAAACGTTTACGAAATACATCGAAACGTTTCCGTTTCTTAGATGACCGAAACAATACACCGAAACAAAATTTTGATCTGTAGTGAGAAGTGAGTAGTCGAGTAGGTGTTGAGAAAGCTGCTGAAGTGGAGGGCATAGCAAAGCGATTGGCAACTTGGGGGTTTGGGGAAGAATGGTGTAATTAGATATAGATGAGCAATTGCAAAAAAACATAACTATTTTATTTAAATGTGAAATAAGTTTGAAAATATAATTAGTTTGTTATAAAGAAGAATAAGGAGGGTAATCATTGCATTTATGATTTAATTATAATTTTTTCTGATGTAATTTTTTTTGTTGACAAAAGAGCTTCATCTATCACAACTTCTCAAAAGTAAGGATTGTCATGCCATTTCACCAAAGTTTGAGGGTCCTCCTCTTGTTTTGACAAAATTCAGGAGGTCTATGTGGAATTTATCCAATTAGTTAATATACCAATTCTAGTTAGAGTGTCTTTAAAGGTGCTAATTTGTGCATGGATAATTGCTCATGGTAAACTTATGATGTGCTTCTCCTGCTAGTGTGTGTTATGTGTAAAGGTGATAGTGAGAATGTGGTATTATTTATTCTAACATTGTCCCATGGCACTCCCACTATGGAACAAGTTGTTTAACTTTGTGGGTTTTTGTTGGGCGGGCACCAAATCAATGGCATCTATGATTTGCTTCTTTGTCTGTGAGATTTTTTTTTTTTTTTTTTTTTGGGGGGGGAGATGGTGGTATAGAAGGTGGAAGAGTTCCTGGCTTTGTACATTTTTTGCCTTTGGTTGCAAAGGAATGCGAGAATTTGTTGAGACAAATGTGAGGAGTTTGAAGGACTAGGGGATCGGCTTTATTTTTTGGCCTCCTTTTGGGTCTCAGTCGCTGCGCAGTTTTAGTATGGTCCTAGTTTTTGCAAAATTACAAGCTGGACAGCTTCGCAGAGTGTAGTTTGGTATTTTTTTCATGTGGTATTGTTCATTTTGACGCATATTTGCTTTGGACGACTTGTCCACCTTTGACTGGTTTTTGTACCTCTTTTTATCTTTCTTGTCGATAATATTATGATTTCATTGAAAAAATAGAAAAAAAAAAAGTTAATATATCAATGTTTCAGTTAGAGGACTTAAAGATTTACATAATACAGTTTTCTGATCCCAAGAAATATAATATATATGCATAGAATTGCTCACCTGTCTTGTTGCTTTTCAACCCACACCTCCATCCATGGTGAAACTTGATTTTCTGAATAGATGAGATCATGTGGAAGATTATCAAGCACCTACAAAAAAATTGATGAACAAAATTTCATAGAATGGCATGAAAATTGAACCCAACTGGAACTCGTTTAGAAGATAGACTTGAACAATATAATCTTAATGGTCAACGACATCCGTCTAAAGCAATTGCCATAAGCTCAGACCAAAAAAGCATGACCAACAGCAATTATGGCCACACAAGAAATGTAACATTGCATTCTATTCATAATAATACTATTATTTTTTCATGATAATCAGTTAAAAGGATTGTGCAGTACTTATTAAGACTCCCATAAACTAGCTTGTTTAAAATGCAATTGAACATTTTCTAAATAGTGAATTTATTATGACCAACAGTGGTATGCCTATCGAACATGACAAAAAGCAATGAACCAATGAAATGGGAATAAACAACTATGAGATACCTCTAGCATTATAACCCAGCAAGGTTGTTGCTCCACATCCCCTGTTTCAAAGTAAAACTACATTTAATTTTCCAAATATAATGAGGAGGACTTATGCAAGACAAAATTCAACTCCACAATCCAAAATTCAATGCAAGATACGACAAAAATATAGCGGCACATTAATTTTAAGGTAAAGCTAACAACAGAAAGTGACTAAAAAGGGCAAGATCTGCATACCCCATCCATTTTGGTCAGCAGCGTCACGACACTCTACTCTAAACTTTGATAAGTGACTCTGAACTTCTCCTACAGTTTCTAGTTGTTTCTTGGCCAGTGAAGCACTGATTTCCACTGAACTGCAGCAATGAGAATGATCTTTCATTTAACTAATTAAGTAACTCATGAGAACCAATAGAACCACATAGAGAAACCATCACATTCTAACCAGCCTTTTTAAAGGAAAACTAAGAACAACAGCAAAATATGTTACAAAAATGGACAGTCCATTTTTGTGAGCTTCAAAAAACATCTGGGTAAAACGAGAACAGATAATTGAAAGTCCTGCACTACTTATGGAAATTAGAAATGTCACAACTCAGCAATACACTAGAAGGAGCAGTACATAACAAAGACAAGAGACTATTCACCGCCAATCAAGAACCCAGTTCTGGGACCAGGAGCCTGACAATGGAGAAAACACAAAACTACCACCAGTAAAACACTAGCCATCAAAAACCAAATCTTTCGCATGATGGTAGCCTCCAATTGAAGGTTGAACCTTGTCGGTTCACTTGGCATCCCTTTGTGGCAGCAGCTTTTGGAACTTGGCTCCAGAAGGTTCTTTTTTGTCCACACTCTTGACGAATCCCACAGCTGTGACCTGCCTTGTTTTGCTCCGTTAATTAAGCAGGTTGAATATGGATTAACATTGAATTACTCTCAACCCATTATCAACCCGTCAAACTCATCTTTGCAAGTTTTCACAATATCAATTTGTGCAAACAAACATAAGAGATCTGATTTTCGCAGTCATTTATTTAAAGGTGAAATCAATGGACATACATGTAAGTCATATTCTCGTAAACTCTTGAAGGGGCATTCAACAATATGTAATCCATTATGCCCTTTGCACAAGTTCCTGATCCACCTCCAATTTCATATATCTGAATACAGATAATAAAAGAATAGGATCAATGTTTAGCTTTAATGTAAAAGAAAAGGTAGATTGGAACTCAGAAAAACAAAGAATGGAGGATCCACAAAGGAACATTATGGACTGAAAAGAAAAGGAAATAAACTGAGTCAAACATATTTAGAAAATTGTTGAGAAGAATATTCAAAAACGAATGTGATTTTTTCCTGGTTAAGCTACAACACCAAGAATATCATGGCTGCCAATCCCAAAGAGGACATACATTCCATAAAGATACATAGTAATGAAGTATGTTATGTTACTTAAAGGCCCCATATATGTTAAGAAGACTAGTGTAGTAGTGTCCCTTAAGAGACTTAATATGCTGGAATCTAGAGGCAAAAGACACTTTTCAAAAGTACATAAATAAATCCCACCATAATGGAATCCACTTATCAACACCATCAGAAAGGATCAAGCATGCTGAACAATTATGTCCTTCCAAATGTAATGAAACCAACATAAAGGCAGAATACTAATTTGTCTGAATCAGTGCTCTAGGCTGCAACAAGACACTACTTCATCTACCCTGGGTTACCAGGGATTAAGAATTCAGTCAAGCAATGGTATCAGCTGGCCATGCTGCTCACATCTACATGTGCCCCAATGAAGGTGAAAGTGCTTAGGATTTACACCCTCCGGCTACCAAGAAATGAGAAAGCTTGATCAAAGCCAAATTCAATGACAATTTTAAGTTACTACCAATTATATTGTCCAAGCATGCACGAAAATACTTCACAAAATGAAGTTGAAGATCAGGCTGTGCTGAGTCCACCCCTCAATCATCCAATAATGAGGGGAAAAAATACTGACAGAAGTAGAGGTTTTGGGGCAAAGAGTTTCAAAAAAATCCAATGAACATATAGCATGCTGGACACGATAAACTTGAGCAAAATACAGTAGAAGGAACTCATGACGATTTTTTTACAAGTTTTTGCTCCATATCTCCTTCCTTGTAAAGTAAAAAACAAAACGGTATAATCAATTAAAGCATACTTTCCCTTGAACTACATTATATGTCTTATGTTATTAGCGCATCATCATACAATTTTAAGTTCTGAGAACTATTCTCAAATTAGTAATTCCTTTGATCAAAGATTGATGCCAAGAAGAATTTACCTAATCCATAGACAATTTTTCCCTTTTATATCATATGATCAACCTTCAAGTTTCAGATAAAGTTACAAGCTCTTAAAGTGTGATGATTTTAGCATAATCAACTATAAGGTGATACTTGACCAATTGCAGATCACCCGGGGAGGGGGCACAGGGATGAGGGAACTTACCTTTAGTGGAACTGAAAGATTAGTGGTCCGCATAATTGCCTCTGCAATTCCATGGGCATACCAAGGCTACAAGGCAGCAAATTTATATTGCTAAAATGGCATGCATGCAAGAAAAGCAAAAGCATGAACAGATAGACTGGATGGAGCAAAAAGATTTCAACAAGCAAGTAGCCAAGTACATAACCAAAGCACCTGCAGAGTTGCTAACTTTAATGGCTGTAAAGCATAATGAAAGATGAGAGAGTCACAACCACAGTAGTGTACAGCAAAACAACAAACAAAATGCCTCTTAAGGGGATTTATCCACCAGCATCTATGTCTAATATAGCCTTAGCCTCCAAAAATAAACATATGTCCTTTCCAAGACTATCTATGTCATGTCAGTTATCTTACAAAGAGATTCAGTAGACCTAGACCATCAGAAACTCTGGTGCAAAGTGCAGAATGCCATTTACCATCTTATAAGTGGGTGTTATTTTAAAATATGGATTATAACTCTAGCAGTGAAACACCGTGATACGTCAGTATCACGTCATACATATCTACTTGCAACAGTCATATATTGCTATACACCTGGTTTTAGTTTATAAAAAAAAAATGTTTTCCTTTCGTGATATGAAAGATGCCAAAAGTAAACATTAAGGTTAATGCAAAGTTGGAACCATTGTGAGATACTTTAGGATCTTGAGGGTTTTTTTTTTTTTTGTTATTCATGAAGGAGGTTTTGATAAAAACTGATGGCCAAGCAATGCTCCACATTGATATCATGTGCTATCTAAGATTGACTATTTCATTTTTGATAAAAGTAAATCTTTTCCTACAGAATTAGGTTGGAATAGAAGAAGTATGCCTCTAAATTGTTGTGTGACCATAAAACACATGAGATCAAAGGAAAAGCTTTACAAGACAAACACAAGAACAGCAATGGTTTTATTGTTAAAAAATATTAGGCAACTAGGAACATATGAAAGATGGAATAAGAAATGAATGCATCTGTAAGAAGTTACACGAGATTTGAACAAGATGATAAAACTAAGTCCATACTACAAAAGGATTAGCAAATGTTGGCACAAATATCTAGATGTTAGAAACAATTTGGTGGAAATAACGATCGGAATTCTAAAACCTAGTGATATAATTCTGAGAATCAGAAAAGAAATTTGGAACTAGATTGTACTTCAGAAATTAAACACATCTATGAAATCAAGGGCACTGATTCTTCAAAGCATCACAGAGCAATTCTCAGAAAAGAAAACAAACGAACAACACTTAACGCATACTCAATTTCCCAGAGAACAAAAGAAACCACAAACAATGAATTCAAAACCTAGATTATCAACCTATCCAACCTAAATAAAAGAAAGAAGCAAAAATAACACCAACTACATATCAACTCTGACATACATGTCAACTTCTATTGACTTACCCAAAAAACAAACTTCTATTCAATATTATAAAAAAAAATGACAAACATGTGGAATAAGAACTATCATCACTGACTTCAAGGATTCCCAAAAGCAATAATTAAAGGATTATCCCATCACTTCCAGTCCATAAAGCCAGTAGAATATGCACACCTATACTTTCTTCGCAATCTCAGCCTAAAATATCAGTCCCATACCACGCAAACTTTCACAATGCTTTTACCTCTACAGTATTTGTATTCACAAAATTATTTGTCTGTGTATATATTACCTTAAAAAGCTCTGCCGGAGTAAACCATGACATGTCATTCTGCTTGTAAATTTTATCCAAGTGCTGCATATAAGCTTTTCGGCCTGAAATGTTTGACAAGTCAGTATTTACATGACAATATATTTTGTATTAGATGAGTTCCAGCATAACAGAAATCATATAATACTTAATGCTCAAGTTTATTGTATCTAAAACAGTAAAGTTCCACCAATGTACGCAGAAAAGCTTATTCAACTAAGCAGACCCCAAATCTTCCAGGCAATATGATGCAAGATAAACAAGTGTGTGTGACATGGCACTTAGATTCAATATTTCAGTAATACAAAGAACCCCTATAATTTATTTGTCCTGGATTTTCTTATTACTAAAAGCATAGGATTTTGAAATGGCATCTGGCTCCCAGTAAATTATTTTGTTGGGCACAAATGCTCAAGCAGTTGTGCCGTCACTATATGACCTCATTAAAAGCCTTGGGTCCTGATTAGACCTAAGGCATCTCCAAAGAAGGGGTTCTCCTCTGGCAACTCCGAACACTTCTTGTGCTTTCAATAGGCTCAAGACAACGGCATCATTCACTGGAAGGGCATTCATGCAATCCTTTGGCTCGTGATCTCATGGAGGCACAAGGGTTGTTAAACAAACTGAAAAGCTCAGGCCCAGCTCATTTTTGGGTTGTTCAAAGCTCGTTCGTATGATCATCAAGCCGGAATATGATCAGTTTTTCAAACTCAAGATATTCACCATTATTACAAGAGTATTTTACCTTACAAATGTCTGCCTCCTTTTTTTCTCTTCCCCATCTCTCTTTTTCTCTCTTCCCGCAATAAAGTAGAACATGTTGAGCCCCAAACCCCCTTATCTCTCAATAAGCAGTCCAACTCCAATAGTTCATCCTCTCTTTTCTTTTGATCACTCTATTCCCAAAATTTTCCTATCTACCTCTCATTCCATCTTCTTTTGTTTTGCATTCATGGGAGACACCCTCGTCAACTCTCTCAGGACTCTCGATTTCTAGATCTCCAGATTTTGACCACCACCACCATTATCACCTTCCACAACTTAAGACATAGATTGAGTCACCACCCATATAATCCAAATGATATGGTACCAAAAGCTGGAGCGGTTAATCACATCATTAAAGGTCGTCCTATGTATATAGTTATATATATATGGTGCTATTTACAAGTATGGTAGCATTTATCATTTATGGTAGGATTTGTATTTATATTTGGATTTGAGTTAATGTAATGGGAAATTTATGAATTTGAATTTGAGCTTTGGGATTTGTGAATAGTAGATATGAGATTTCAGATTTGTGGACTATAGAATTGAGACTTAGGCTCAAAACTAGGTTTTGACTCGAGTTTGTGCTGAACCAAGCTTTAACAAAAATCTGTGCTCAATATCCGGGCAAGAGCTTAATTTGAGCACACTAAAACTTAGAATACTCGACTCAATTAACACCCATAAGGGGAACAAAGGAGCACTCACACGACATCTTGCATGCTTTAGGTGTGCAAACATTATGGGTGGCGTTACTGCTGTATGGATCTTCAAATCCACCAAACCTACATTAATGAAGGAGTCTATCATAGTGCAGGCCTAAGGTCAAGGCCTAATCATGTCTCAAGTCGTAATGTAAATCATCAATTTGGAGGATATTAAAATGCATGGGTTGTAGTATCAGGAAATGCTATCGGACGTTATGTACAAAAGTTTTGATTGAAGAAGAAGATGAATATGACAAGATATTCAGATTATATCATTGCAACTCAGAATGATATTGGCCAATCTGATGATGGTTAAGTGGACAATTCGATGTTGACTAGGAGACATCACGGATAACTTAGCCGAGTCGCGTGCAACTCATTGTTGGCATGGAACGTACAATGGTATTAAACAGAAGGTATTGAGCCGGATCGGTATTGACCAATGTTTTGAAGCATGGGCCTATTACCATAGGACACTGAGCTTGGGTCTAGCTTGAACCAAACCCAACTCATTTCAAGCTTCCCTATATAAAGGGCATTAATGTTAATTAAAGGACAAGACAACTAGCATTTACTCCATTGTAACTCTCCAGAATCACACTTGTCGGCATCTTCCCAAACTCTGCTTTAGCTCTGCCAACATCTTAGACATCCTGCCTGAGTGTCTTGCCTCTCCTTCAAAACAACTCTCATGCCTTCCATTGTACCTCCCTTCTTATGGTCCATCTTGTTTGTAGCACCACCCTTGTACTCTCTATCATTAAACATGATTCAAATCACTTCAACTAAACTAATATGGTGTTTGGCTATATGAAATTGCAGTGTTTGAGATACCATTGGGCCAGAAGAAAAAAAAATTGTAATTTGGAAAAAAAATAGTTCAAATCTTTAAATAAATTAACTAGGACTCCAATTACAAAACCTCAATTCCAGTCTGCCAAACACAACATAAATTCCCATAAACACGAAAAATAGGTAGATTCAAATGCTGAGATAGCTATATTATTCATTTATTTTACACAATACACATTATTGTTTATCCAATAAAAAAAATGAAAAGACAGTTCAACAAAGGCGAGCATCAATACCTTGGAGCTGATTGAACTTGATGCTTTTGTCAAGCACTCCAACGGACTCTGATCTTTGAAAGAAATAGCCATGCTTCGCATCATACAATGCCCACCGTATAAAATCCCGAACCTGCCCATTTAAAAGGAGCAATTTTTTCAAAGTTACCAGCATTTGAATAACAGAAGCTGATATGTATGTAGAAACCTACACACACACACACACACACACAATTGGGAGAGAGAGAGTTACGAGAATTGGGGTGTCCCCGATAATGTGTGTGGAGAAGAAAGCTGGAGGCGGATGATTTGAGCGTTCGAAAGAGCTCACTACATAAAACTTCGGTGGTTAGAGATACAGAAATGGTGACAGTACTCTGTGTGTGTGTGTGAGAGAGAGAGAGAGAGAGAGAGAGAGCGATATCACCTCTGGGCGTGCGAAATGGAAAAGTGAGATTTTTGGAACATAGAAGCCGAGAGGCCATTTTTGAGATCTTCCTTTTCAACAACAGGCAAGTGTGAGCGTGGGGTTGCAGGGGTTAAAGGGTTTTGGAAGTTAGAGCCTATCTAAAAAATTTTGTGGTAATTTGATATATAGTATTAATATTTTCGCATTGTATTTTAATCGATAGATTAAAATAATTTATTTTATTAGACTTTTATTTTTAAATTTAAATTTTATTGCAAAAATTTTACATTAAACACTCATTAACTCCATAAAATATTATATTAAAAAGGTTTGACATATCAATTTCAATTGAAATACATTAAATTTGACAACATGGTAAATTTATTTTGTCAACGCAGCAATTGGCATGCCGGTTGAAGAATGAAGAACGGCCAAAACGATCGGTTGGATGCCATAACTAGCATTTGACATGTCGGTTGGAGATGCTCTAACATACATTATGATCTAAGGTTTTTTTTTTTTTTCTTTCAAGCAGTAAGACATTATTTTTTTTGAACTTGTACAAAGTTACAAAACATGATTTTTCACAATTTTACTCAAAATGATACTATGTGAAGGAAGAATTAAAGTTTTACTCAAATTTTAGAATTTAAATTTTTAATAATCATATTTTACTCTTTTTTAAGTATTCGTCAGTGACGCTTTACATTCTTTTATATATTTGTTATTTTATATCAATCTTATTAATAAATCTTAAAAAATGATGATTCTGCTAATGCTCAAATTTTAGGTTGAATTATTTCTCTATAGTTTTATTAGAGGTGACAAATGGGGTGGGTTGGGTTGGGTTGGTTATAGGTTGGATTAAATTAGATTGGGCTAAAATAAATCAAATTCATTTTTCACTCAGGTAATAAATGGGTTAGATTTATAACGGATTGGGTTAATCCCATTAACCTATAAAATAATTAAAATTCTTACTAGACACATTAATACACCAACACACACATATTAGTTGTACACCAAAATACAAACATATACATACTAATACATCAAAACACACACAAACTAATACACTAAAAATATACACACTAATACACTAAAATGCACACTAATACCCCAAAAATACACACACATATACTAACACAAAAACTAAAACACATTTAATATAAAAAAAAAATGCACACATAATAGGTCGGGGTCGATTGTGGGCTATGTGTTGGTCTGTGGGTCGTGGATCATGGTCGACCCATGGATCATGGGTCACCCCATGGATCATGGGTTGTGGGTTAACCCATGGGTTGTGAGTCACGAGTCGACTCATGGATCACGGGGCCGACCTATGGGTAATGAGTTGTGGGTCACAGTCGACCCATGGGTTATGGGTAGTTTATTAGTGTGTGTGTTTGTAGTGTACTAATATGTGTATATTTTGGTGTATTAATACATATGTGTATTTTTTAGTGTAATAGTGTGCGTGAATTTTTTGGTATATTAATATATTTATTTATTTTATTACTTGTGTTATTTAATAAAAAGATAAATACTCAACTCAGTGGGTACCCATTTATAATTCATATTAATTCGCTTAATTAAAATGAATCATATTACCCAGCTCATTTAGAACCCATATTAATTAATATAGGTATTCAACTCATTTATTTATGGGCGAGTTGGACGAATTAATAGGTAATGGGTTAAGATTGTCACCTCTAAGTTTTATCAATCAATGGCCACATAATGTTAGAATTTTATGAAAAAAATATTACACCACCAAATAGAAAAAGTAAATCTTATTAGTTTTTTATAAGAATTTTTTACTGAAATGTAATTTGGGAAAGAGGTCAAATATGATGAAAATAGAGAAGGAAAAATATTTGAAAGTGAAAGCATAATTACGATGAAAAGAGGTTTAGAGGAAAATAAGTAGAGAAAAGAGAGTAAAAAAAGTTTTGGGAAAAAAATTGAACATTGGAATGCTAGGAGAATTTTTAAAAGATTTTGCAGAAAAATTTGAGTTTGTCCGTTGAAATTTTTTGTATCAAATTAATTTTTTTTACTTAAATTTGATTAAAATTGAGTCATGAAATACTAGTTCATATTCATGCTTGTACACCAAAAAGTAGTTTAATTATTGTAAAAACATACCAACAAGTCCTATTTCTAAGACAATATGTGTTGTAATTTGTGTGTGATGAACAATCAAAGAAACAGAAAATTAGAATATGAACACAAGAATTTTATGTGATTTGACAATTTATCTAGGTCCACGAGAGAGCGATTGTCTTGTTTTTATTCCACACTGAAATAAGGTTACAATTCTAATTTGGACAAATGCCGAAAGCACATGCCATTCTCCTACTTCATACCACGGGGGCATAGCCCCCCACACCCCCCGACCTATTTTTGATCCGATAGTAATTCGAATTCGCTGCATTCTGACAATTGACCTATTATATTTGAACTTGGTGAACCTTTTCATATCTATATAATAAAACAGGAGTGTGTTTGAATTTTATGTCAGTCATATTTTCTCCCTCAAAATCATCACCAATCACTTACCTTACCTATCATCCTTTTGTCAGACTCAAACGTCAAATCACATCACTCATTTCTATCACATATTTAATTATTTATATATTTTCTCCTTAAAAATATCACACCACTCATTCTATCATATATTTAATTATTTAATATTTAATTAATTTATAGTTAAAATATTTTGAAAAAATTTAATATGGTGGAATTGATTTTTTAAACGCTCAAATTTTATATTTTATCGTGCCTTTAGGCACGGGTTATGACTAATATTAAATATGAGTCACTTATTCTAACGATATGTAATCTCATGAAAGTTTTATTAAAAAAAACAATACAAACTTGAATTATCAAAGCGACTTGTTTATATTCTGGACGCCTGCTTAAGCCCTCCCAAAAGGCTTTGAACAGACGAGCACCTAACCCAGCTAATCTTTAGGTAACTTATAAATAAGAAAAATTATATTTTGCCCCTTAAATTTGGACGAATATCACGTTGTGTCATCGATCTCAGTATATTTATAGTTCGAGGTAATGTGAAACAAATTATAGTTCGAGGTAATGTGAAACCCTCTTTTGTCCAAAATTTATATTTATAGTACTACTTATAAATGTCAGTATTTGCGAAAAAAATTTATTTTTTATTTTATCCCTAATTATTATTATAAAATTAATTATACTCACTAATCTAATTTTTGTTTTGTACTCCTATTTGACTTTTAACTTGTTTTGGACTCTTTTATAAGGACTTCTAAATTTTTTTGAACTCATTTATTAGTAGTACAGTTATATACAATTTTTCATCTATATAATAAAGTAGAGCTAAGTTTGAATTTTAGAGACAAAAAGAGATCCAGATCGTTTTGACACAAAACATAAACACATCTAATGGACAACGTAATCCAACACATAAAAGACGGTTCAGATCATCTCAAAAATTTTGATCTAGCGATCTACAGTGAGTACTAAATTTTGTTTTTGCGCCTAACAACATTTTCTGTTTTAATTATCAGATCATTTCAAAATTAGTCCTGAATTTTTTTTCCCGCCTATGAAAAAGTCTCTCATAGTAAGACTTTACACTTCTATCTCTCATACGTCTCTATCTCTCTCATACAGATTCTCTCTCTTCAATCCATATTTAGCAATTCAAATCTTGCTTCTCATCACAAGACTCTACGGTCTACACTCTTTTTTTTGTGTTTTTTTTTGAGTTGCAACGATAAAATTATATTTTTGAGGAATATCAAAAAAAAGGAGAGGCATAACAAAGTCTGGTGCTTGCTCCAATCATATAGCACAATTATTTAATGGTAGAATAAAACGAGCTAATTCATGAGCTACTTTATTTCCATTGTTGCGTACCTCGGACACTTCAAAATAACGAGAGCTACTCGTTATGCTATTAATGTCCTGCAAAATGGCATCGAGAGCATCAAGATCCACCACACGACCCCCAATAGCTCACATGACGTCTGAAGAATCCCCTTCCAATATAACTTTAGGCAACTCTTGCAGCTTTGCGAATTGGATTGCTATCCTTGCTGCAAAAGTTTCTGCTTGACGAACATCACAACTCATTTCCATCCTTTTAGACAAAGCTCCTACAAAGTAACTCATGTTATCTCTTATAACTACCCCCAATCCTAAGACATTTAAGTCTCTAAACACAGCGTCATCGAAATTCACCTTGAATGTACCTACCCTCGAAAGACACCACCCAATTTTGTGGTTTGGCAATGGATCAAAACTGAGTTGAGTTACTGCCTCCATATACTGCCTGTGGTATTCCATTGCCTTCATCTGCACTCCAGCCGGATCTTGAACCTTGTTTTCAAAGGCACAAGTGTTTTTATTTCTCTATACAAACCAACATTAAATAAGGAACATTGAGAAAGTTATCAGGTGTAAGGGTCTGATGGGCATCACGCAACCACTGCCTAGGCTCAGAAGCTGAAATCTAGACAACTGTTTTTAATGTGCTGAGTCACCACACATCTTTAGCCCAAGAGTAGTCCCTAGGCATGGATCAATGAATCCTCCACTTCTTGACACACCCCATAATTCCCATGTACTGTGAGTCTGAGACTCTCCTACGCCGTAGATTATCTGCTGTTGGTAGCGCATTGGAACACACCCGCCAGGCAAAGATCTTAATTTTATTTGGAATTTTCTAATTCCAAATAAACTTCCAATCAAGATATCTAGCACTGGAAGAAGGAGATGAACTGCTTAGGGGCACTTGCACTAGCTTTTGGTCCATGATGATGTGGTATGCACTACGTACCGAGAACCTCCCATTTGAGTTATAATGCCAGATCAATCAATCCTCCATAGAATTTCTGCTGAGTGGGATACTTTTAATCACAAGCGTCTCATGAGGCAAAAATATTTCATCCACCAACTGCCCATTCCAACTCCGTGTTTGCTCATTAATAAGATCTCTTACCTTTGCTGTAGAGGGTAGAATCCTTCTAGGGGAAACTGGTTTGAAGCTTATAAAGGTGGGTATCCACCTATCCGACCAGATATTGACTCTGGATCCGTCACCTATTCTCCATCTCGAACCTGATATCACCACTTTTCTTGCCCCTAAAATACTTCTCCATGTATAAGGTGGTCTATAGCCAAGCTCTGCCTCCATAAAAGATGACAAAGGGAAATACCTTGCCTTAAACACTTGGTGAATAAGTGAATTAGTCTCAGTATTCAATCTCCATGCCTGTGTTCACGAGCAGAGTCAAATTGAAAACCTTGAGATCTCTGAAGTCCATTCCACCTCTCTCCTTCCTTGTACTTATCCTACTCCAACTAACCCAATGAATTTTCCTTTCCCCCTGTCTTTGTCCCCACCAAAACCTAGCCGATAGTGCTTCTAAATCCTCACAAAAATTATTTGGGAGTTTGAAACACCTCATAGCATATGTGGGAATAGATTGCACCATCGCCTTAATTAATACCTCCTTCCCCGCTTTAGATAAAAGTTGCTCACTCCATCCTTGCATTTTATTCCACACCCTTTCCTTTAAATTGCTAAAGGCCTCTTTTTTAGATTTACCCACCACAGTAAGAAGTCCAAAATATTTATCATGTTGGTGAACACAATCTATTCCCAAGGTTTGTTGGACTTGACTTGCCTGCGCCTCCAAAGTATTACTGCTAAAGACCACTGCAGACTTCTCCAAGTTGATTTGTTGCCTTGAAGCAGCTTTGTAAATTGCAAGAATTGACTTCACACCTGCAGCCTCCTCTTGTGATGCATTAAAAAATAATAGATTGTCATCGACAAACAAAAGGTGGGATATACGTGGACCTCCCCTCCTCACCGAGACTCCAGTGATCAAACCATTCATCTTTGCATTGCGAAGAAGTGTTGTTAAACCTTTTGCACAAATAAGAAACAAGTAAGGTGACAAGGGATCTCCTTGATGAAGACCCCTTTTAGGATGAAAAAAGCCCTTTTGATCATTATTCAACATGATAGAATATAAGACGGTTGTAACACATTGCATTATCAAAGTAACCCATCTAGGATCAAAGCCCAAAGTGACCATCATTTCTTCCAAGAACACCCATTTCACCCTATTATAAGCTTTACTCATATCCAGCTTTAGAGACACATGTCCCATTTTACCCAGCTTTTACACTTCAGTAAATAATTAATTTCAAATGCAACCAAAACATTGTCGGTAATTAACCGCCTAGGAAGGAAAGCACTTTGAAAATTAGAAATGACCGATGGAAGAATATGTTTTAAACGATTAGCTAAAACTTTTGAAATAATTTTATAAATAACATTACACAAACTAATTGGACGAAACTCATGTAAAGACTCCACATTTTTACATTTAGGGATAAGGACAATATTAGTATGGTTGAAACTTGCTGGAAATTGACCACCATTGAGAAAATTCAAGACACAATTAGCAACATCCACCCCGATAATACGCCAATACTTTTGGAAAGAGAGTGGGGACTTACCATTAGGTCTAGGTGATTTGGTAGGGAACATCTAAGATAATGTTGTAGTTACCTCATCAATACGAAAAGTCTGCAAGATCCTTGAATTCATTCTCTTTGACACCTTGCGATCCACCTTACTTAAAACGGCCTCTAGCGCTTGGGTTTGTGGTCTATTGGAAGTAAATAGATTCTTAAAATACCCTACCGCAACTTGTTCCATATCATCTGAATTCTCACACCAGCCCCCTTCACCGTTTCTTTGTTTGATAATTGTGTTCCTTCTTTGCCGTTGGGATGTCGTGGCATGGAAAAAAGTTGCATTCTTATCCCCTTCCTTCAACCAGTGGATTTTCGATCGTTGACGCCAATAAATCCCCTCCATATCCGACAAAGAATTCAACTCCTTAACCACCTCTTGAGCTTGTTGCCTTGAACTCTCTGTTATTCCACTTTCCTTTAAACTTGCCAATTTACCTTTCAGATTTTCTATCTTAACTAGAATGTGCCCAATATAAATCTATTTCCACTTAAGTAGCTCCACTCTATAATTTTGTATTTTGCTTGAGAACCCCTAAAAGATATTCACCACAATTCCAAGCCTCCTCAATAGTCTTCTCATATCCCTCGACTCTACAACCACTCCACACAAGCCAAACATCATTTTCAAAAAATTAATTCTCCTAGCATTACATTTCGTCTCCAAAAGGAAGACAAAATTGGGCTGCTCTTTCTTTATGAAATCGTGTAAATCTTGAACTATCCGAGAATGCCCAAGTCCCCGACAATTCCAACTAAGGATTTTCACGACGATTAGTGGGACTGGAGACCAGTTCCCACCGTTACATTTGTAATTTCTACTGGAATTGAAAGCCTTAAACCTTCACTTACCTTAGCTTTTTTCTTTGCACCCATTTCCATACTTGTACCCAAATCTTCCTTTCCTCCTCTATACTTCTGTTTGCCATTGGATCCTCCTGATATTTTGTTTGGCTAGATGTTGTAGAACCCTTATCCTTGCTTCTCCATTTCTTCGTAGCTGTTGGATTTTGACTGAGCACCCTTCCTTCGTCAAAGACTAAATCCCCCAATTTAGGTAGGCAAATAGTTTGGGCTATGGAAGAAATGTGAATATCCATAAAGTCTTCCACAGCCCATTGAGCCTCCATATTACTAGTTGATATAGACTGACTACGTCATTTATCTACGGGTCCACCCAATTCTTTCACCACTTTAGGACCCACATTAACAACTAGTTTCTCTTTAAGACTCCATTCCTTTCCTTTTGATTATTATCCATGATTATTGCTGTTGAAATACCTTCCATGACTGGCATTGCATCTTCAACTTTCTTAAGCTTGCTATCTTCAATTGTCACACTATCTAAATCCAAAAAAAAATTTCTGTTAATTAAAGGCTCAATTAAATCCCCTAACTTTTCTCCTTCCAAATCTTGCGCCCCTAGTTTTACTCTTTGAATTGGATATTCCTCCATCTCTGGAGATTGGGCCAGTCACACCCATGAAACTCTGCTCGATCACCGCTGCCTCATTTTGGTAAATCTTCTTCGGTGAATCTTGCTCGCTAGCCGGAGAAATTTCACTTTTCTCCACCGCCGGCAGTTTGTTCACACTAGCGTTCAAACTTACTACATTCTTCAACCCTCCACCCAATGGAGCCCTCAACCAAGCCCCATACTTCATTGACGCATCCCTAACTAAGTTTGATGAATCCAATCTTAGCTGACATTCTCTTTCCCTGTGGTCAAACCGTCCACAATGGTAACAAATATGAGGCAACCTTTCATACTTGAAAAACACCGTTACATTTGAGCCTCCTAACCCATTAAGATTCATTCCTCTAAGGAGAGGTTTTTCAATACTAATGTTCACCCAAACTATTAAATATCTCCCCCATCTTACTCTGTTTCTCAAATCCGTTTCCAAATAGTATCCAATCTTATTGCCTATAATTTTCGCAGTTTCTTGATTTATTTTATTGAATGGCAAATTATAGATTTGAATCCAGAATGGACACCCGCTAAACAATACATTTGACACCTAAATCGAACCATCATAATCCTTCAACAAAACTAATTGGTAATCAAAGGATCATGGCTCACCTTTTCGGACTTTATTCTTATCCAACGTATTACTGAATTGAATGAGAAATAGATTGTCACCAGCCTCTATAACTTTCACTTTGATATTATTCCATACCCTCTTCATTGTAGTTTTGAAAGTTGTCTTGTTATAAAACTTTATTGACAATACTTTACCGTAAACACACAGTTTGCCTTTTTCCCCAAGATCACAATCTCCTTGTCCATTATAGTGACTAGTCTACGGTCTATACTTTTTTTATATCTCATACTTCTGTTATCTCTCTTAGTTCTTTTCTTAGTGTTTATGTCTCATGATATCTCTCTTCTTTCTCTTATCCCAGTCTCCCTTCTCCAACTTAAATGCAACTTCTCTTTCCTCTTCCCATCTTTTTTCTCTCTTATTTTTCATCTCTTATAATCACTGCCGGTGCTACCAATAGCAACCTGAATGAAGCAACCACCGTTATCCTGCCACCCAATAGATACTGCGATGCAATCATTCATCACCAATAACATCGCAATGCTAACAAGCACTGTGATCCATAGTCGACCTAGTATACCTCCCTCTCCACCCATCTCTCAAAGTTTGTGTTTATATGTGATATCGTTTGTTTAGGGGTCAGGATCAATTCAGTTGATGGAAGATTTGGTTGTAAATTTTAGGTTTATGGCCAGGTAGTACCAATGTTTGGAGATTTTAGGGTTTTTAATTCCTATTTGTTTAAATTGTAGCAATTTTCTTTGATATCAAATCTATTTTCTTTCAATGAATTTGTGTTGATTTTGGCTCCAATTGTGGAATCTCTATCTAGAACTCTACTGTGTCAACTTCCTCTGGGAATAGAATTGATGGGTCAGAGTTTCTTGAGAATGTGTTGTATTTAGAGTTTAGTTTTGGAATCACTATCAGGAGAATTGTGAGTTTGTTCTGTGGACAATCTAAAGTTTGGATTCTCTCTCTACGGACACAAACTTTATGTTGCATTTTCATGAATTATTTCATTTGTTTATCTTACTGGTCGGAGTTTCTTAAATACTATCCACTGTCCACTATTGAACCGATCCCCACCATAGACTCCGCAAACCCACCCCACAACTTTCTAAACTAGGTCGTAGCCACCCCACATACACCAACACAGCTTCAAGTTCATCACTACCACCGCCAAACAACCAGCTGTTACCCCACATATTTCCTTGATAATGCACATCAAGTATACGTTGCAATGCCTGACAAAACCAAATCTAAACCAACCACCAACTAGCTGACATATTGTCATTATTTGAAGTTGTCTATCTTAACCATCGAAAGAATGAGGGATAACTAACAATGGTATGTATTTCCACTTATACAAAAGGTATGAAACTATTTTATGTTCTCTCGATGGTTCATTAGGACAATGCTCATATGTCATATTAACTATTGGATTGCCTTAGGACAATTCTATGGGTTGGTTCCATAAGTTGTTAATTTTAGTCTACGGATAATGATGTATGAGAACATGATTTCCCTTCATTATTCTATTCATTGTTTCCTTTAGTATGCCATGATTTATCATTCACCAAATAGAGTAACCAACTTCATTTGAGTTCTTAGATGTGACAAGAAAGGCCCTTCGCAGCAACATTTACTATTAAGCATTTACAGTCCTAGTAGCTTTAAGTTTCAGTATCTAAGGGACAAAACTTTATTTGAGTATTTCTCAGATTGCAGAGTTGGAATATCTAAGGGACTGAACTCCTGGTTTAGTGTTTCTTGGATTTACGAATAGAATAGTTGAGAACTTATTGTTTCTTTTATATGTTTAGGGTGCTTCTAGCAAGAACCCACTTGCTTTTAAATGGTACAATGCTCAAGAAGAAATTCTTGAGAAGGAAATAAAGGTTTGAGTTGATTTCCTTTTTTTCTTTATTTTTTCACTAATTTTTTTTAGAAGTACTATGTGTAATTGTTAACATAATTAAGTCGTTATTCACCATAGGATTGAATGTGATTCAATGGTGTGGTATTGTTTGAATGAGAAGTTTGTAATTTTGCTTATTTGATTTAAAAAGTATATGGGTTTTGACAAAAAATTTTGGTCAAAAGTCAAACTGAAAGTCTTGGATTTCATGAGGGAGTGCAAAATTTTTTATATGGTTCATGAAGAGTGAAGGCGACTAATAAGAAGACTATATTAGTGTAGTCACTTCTGGATGTTGAATGCAATCATGAAAATTGCCTTAGTCACAAATTAAATTTGTCCAAAAGTGCCACTGCAAATAATTAGAGAGTCTAAGCCAAACTTTTAGGGTGATTGGCGTTATCTATGTTCAATTAGAATAGGTTTTTCTTGAAATTTAATAAGTTTGTTAATTTTATTTTTACTTCCATATGTCCGATTGAGGTTAACTGATTAAAAAACTATATTTTTGGTTGATTTTGGCATTTATGCATCCGTACAAGATGTGATGCATTATGTTTGTGATTATTGGTCATTCATTTTTTATCTTGCTCCATCCAAAATAATATTTTAAATTTCTCTCTTGCTTTGTCTTTGTGCATACACCTTTTACAAGTTAAGATAAAGAGAAAGCAATACTTATAAAAGATGCCCACCAATTAAAGGTTTATTTCTTACTTTTTATCATATAAAGTGAGATTATTTCATTTTCTATTTTGTTGCAATTCATTATGTTTTTAATGTTTGGTTGGTTGTTGGTATTTATGTGTGGTATAACAAAAAATCTGTCAACCAAGTTCTTTGTTGATATCTTCACAGGATACATAGTCCTCACGTGCTCCAAATATGTTTTGATATGAGGTTGGTACATGAATTATTCTCTATTTTGCATAGACAATGTCTTTTGGTTGGTTTCATATGATAGTGGATTGAAAAACTCACAAAATTGTAAATTACAATTCTATTAAATATTGGCTACATCCGATTTCTGGTTCTATTTGTCGGCAGATTGAATATGTAAAGTTGGTGGCATTTGTGGTAGTGAGTTATGTTTAACCATAACATGATTCTTGAGGTTGGCAATGGTGATTGAATTTTTTTTTTGTAAAATATGGTCAAATATATCTTTATGCCTTTAAAAAATTATTTTTCAAGGACATTCGTTTCTATGTTCATATTTTTGGATAATGATATATACAATGAGATATATAAGTTTTGTATATAGGTTGCGATTTTTTTGAGTTTTTATTTTAGCAAAAAGTCTGACGAAATGTATTAAAAAAATGGCGGGACTCGATTGATTTCAATTTTTTTAATTAAAGCAAATGACACAAAAACTATTTTAAAATGGTGGGTGTTTAGATTGCGAAGTGCCTTTAGACACTAGTTATTACTAGTATAGATATAGAGAAGTAAATGAAAAACTTTTGATTTTCTATTTTGACCCTAATTATTATAATAAAGTCAATTATACCCAATAATATATATAATTTCATCTAATTTTGGTTTTTACTCCTATATTTGATGTTCAACTTATTTTGCACTTTTGTGTAAGAACTTCTAAATTCTTTTCAATTCATTTATTAGTTATATAGTTTTATACAATTTTCTATATCTATATGAAGAATTAAAATCATACATATATGTTAAATTATTATACAAATATAGTAATCAGATTGAATTCTATGGTCAAATATATATTATTTTTTATTTTTTGGTATGCAATAATATAATATTTTATAAGCAATTTAATCAATCTATTTTAAAAAAAATAAAAAAAATAATTATATAATATAATTACTGTCCAAATGCCTAAAAGGGTCGGAGAGATACCTAAATAAATGATAGATTACGTACTCAAAGTTTTATAGAATAAATTAATAATTAAATTTTGTAACAATTAAAATATAAATTAATTATTTGACTTTTAATTTATTACTTAATTTAATTACATATATAATTCATATTACTTAAATTTATTTACGTGCAACGCACATTATGCATTGCTAGTATATCAAATGTTTGCAATTGTGTCAATGTGAAAACTAATAATAATAGTTTAAGGTATAGTTTTAGAAATTTGATGGGGGTAATGCGATGCAAGGGGTATAGTTTAGACTATCTCCAATGGAAACCATTTTTTTTATTCAAATTTGAGTAAAAAAAATGATAAAAAACTTGATTTAGTATAGACCTCTCAAATGAAGAAACTCAAATTTAAAGGAAGAGAAATCCAACTTTAATTGAGGACAAACTAAAATTCAAAAGAAGGTTAAATATGGATATTGGATATTTAAATGAGGATGAACTCTCATCACCAAAGATTTGGATATGAATTTGAGTCCCCTTGATTTGATAAGTCTCTCTTGATTTGATATGGGCATGAATCTCATATTGGAGAATGTTTTTTAGAATTTTTTTACCTATATTTAAAATTGAGTTTAAAAAAGGTAAGAATTAGAGATGTTCTTAGAGGTTTAAATGTAATTTCTTCTCGTTACTAGATTCGTAGTTCACCTAGCTGCAATTGAGGACAATTATGGTATTGACATATGCCATGCTAGATGCATAGGTGCATAATGGATTGATATAAATATTTTAAGTTGTTCTGTATTAAATAAGTTGTTGTTGATACATTTTTATTTGTTCCTTTAACTCAATTACAATTTTTTTTAATCGCATTATATTGAAAAACGAATATGTTAATGATGATGTAAAAAACTGAGAAGTATGAGATAAAGAGGCTGGAGTATGACTGAGCTAAGTGTGAGTGTGAGAGTGATAAAGTTATCAAGAACACGAAGAAAGTAAG